AGCACTGCTTATTGACAAAATACAATGGCTGTCAGGTGGTTACATCGGTTTTTGGTTTCACTCACAAATAGTCCGTGAAAATATGAACTGAAACAAAGGTTAATTGGACTGTCCTGACAATCCCATTCATTCCACTGGCTAAGAGGTTCGGCCAATATCCGAACAGCGGAAACTGACAGTGTTTTGCGCGTCTTCAAGATATAGTAATTTATTAATGAAACTTAAATTCAATTGTTTAGTTAATTATTGTACATATTTATTATCAGGCAGAAATGCATATCAACAAAACAGCTCCACGGTGTGTGGTACGTCCCATGCTTCCTTTAATTCTAGGAGTATAGGGAATTATTAAAGCAGGCCATCGGTCTCAACGATATTTCAGCGAATGTACCGCAGAGATGGACTGAAATCGTGCTATTGGCTACAATAATATCTTGCTGTAAACCAGTGAAGGTTCAGGTTTCGAAGCAAGAATGGGTTCATACCATGGAAATAGGCTAAAATATGCATAATTACGGCAAGCAGATGTGTATTCCGATATACCACCATTACCATGCTTCAAGATCTGAGAGTATACTTACCCATTCAAACATAGCATACAGGTAAAAACTTATGAAATCTGCTCAAATTTCAAGATTGTAATAAACAATGGCAGGCCATCACTTCAAGTCTTTTGAAGTTCAAAATGTACAGGTTTCATGTACAGGTCGAATCTATTCGTCATAGCGATTATGATTTCAGGAAAATCAGATATGTACTACTTCTGAAATATTTTGAACAATGATAAGAATAAGAGAGCTTAAAACTTTTGTTTCTTACTAAGACTGCAGCAATCAAAAGAATAACGAGAGCGTCAAACTTCGTACACTACTTTAACTGTTACCTGACTATCGATAAGCTTCGAAACAATAGTAGCTTGGGTTTCTGGCTGACTGTTTAGCAGTCTATTTGCGATAACGGACATAACAGGCTTAAAGTAAGTAGTAACGAAATATTTTCAAATTTTTCACTGGGAGACAACAGCGGCAAAAATATTCGAACCGCCGCTTATGCTGTAGATATTCACGTACAATGAATAAAATTCAATACTTGCAAAATCGTACAATAATAGGAACTATGCAAGAGTTCATAATAATGAGAAAATTGCCTACAATAAAGATACGAAATGATCTGGAATTCTCTTTTTTAATCGATCTTGAGAAACTGAATAATCGAGCTAGACTTAATTTGAAAAACCCTCCAAATTTTATATGAACGAATTTTTGAAGCGTAGCCAAGAATTTGACTTTTCGGATGAATTTATCTAAGCCTTTCCTCAGTTTTGGCAGCTTTTCTTGGCCATTTCCATCCGAATTTTATGAATAAATGTTAAACTGCGTGTATCAGCATTGGTTTCGACTGATAATAACGGTTAAATGATAAGACCAGGGGGGTGAAATTTTTAGTTTCCTATAATTGGATTCCTGAATAGATGTAGTCACTAAACTGTGAGGGTACACCTGCAGAGCATAAAACCGTGGATAAGGTAAATGGTGTCACGACTGGTTTAAGAAAGTAACTGTTCTTTCGACGAGTAACAGTTGGTGCATTCACAGCAAAAGTGCTGAAAAACTGAAAATGAATGATATTCATGTCATTTGCCAATCAGTTTCTGAATTGCAAACAGCTTTTATTAACAATCATAATAACAGCTTTTGTGTCATGCGTAGTTTCCAAGCAAGGATAAGTTATCTTTTCATATAAAAACGAGTCTAAGAGCGAGAATCATTAGTTCTGCTGAAAATATTTAACATCATACGAAGAATGTCATAATAACAAAAGGCTGAAATTGTCAAATGCAAAAAAAATTGTTTTACTTAGGTTGCGAGAGAGGACACAAAAGGGTAACGGATAGGGAAGTCGATGGATTTGTCCTATGCACTTCCTGGTTAATACCTAGACACCACAAATGGTTGTTTATTTAGCACTAATTCGTTAGATTAAGGAATAGGAGCAATTGGATTTTACGCAGCTAGCTGACAACCGAGTAAAATATTAGAAAGATAGGCAGTCAAAACATTACATTACATTTGCAACTGTTCCTTGCAAATCCGATCGACGAAAGACCGAGGGGTCGGGCAAGATTAACCTGGTGCAAACATATGGAAAGAGTCTGTTCCAGCCTTCATTTGTCTTTTGCTGAAGCTCAGACTCTGGTACATGATCGAGAACGTTGGAAGCTCTGTCTGACGTGTCTGCTCCGCTTTCCGAAATGAAAAGCGGCGATGGAAGATGAAGATGAACATTAAATTGTTGATGGGTGATCATATTTGGTTCGTTAAACTCTAATCATGCTGCTTGATGTTGTGTTTTGCTGAAAATTGCATCCTGTACTAGAATTGTAACATTTAGTGATATTGCTGGTGTGATGACGCGACAGTTGGAATGTTTGCTTTCTTTCCAACTATGGAAATTGTGCGATTCAGTTCAGTTCCACTTAATACTAATGGGAAAAAGTTTAAGATTTGTATTCGATGAAACAAGGTGTGAATCCTTGTTTATTCAAAAAGTTCC